AAATATATTATATATGTATATTACATTCAGTTGTGATATCTATAAAATAGCTTACCTGATTTTTGTGGCAACGTAAGAGTGCCTCATAAATATGAATGTCAAAACAACAAGATATTTGAGAAATGTATATATATATATATATATATATATATATATATATATATATATATATATATATATATATATGAATTAATTCAGAGTGACAACCGTATTCAGCAGAACTCGATATCAAGAATGATCAGCAATTCCAGATGGCTAGACGACTCGAATGGTACATGCAATTAGTGTATGCAAATTAATATTATAAAAGAAAATAACTTAAATCCATCCTGGGAACCATAAAATCGCAACTATATGGAATATTCGCTGAACATATATCTCACCCACTCCTTTGCAGAGGTGGAAAGATGAATTCTTAACGTGGGATCCTGGAGATTACAATAATATCGAGTTTATGAAAGTATCATCCAGTCTTGTCTGGATACCGGATATATATCTCTATGGAAAGTAAGTATCTAAAGCCCATGTCGAATTGTAATAAAACACATGTGTCATTGTTATATACATATTATGTATTACTGAGTAGAAGCGGGCACATGTCTCTCATTCCTACATCAATGGATATCGCGCTTCTGTGACATTATAGTTAAAACCATTACAATATGTGGTACGTACCTAAATTAGTGGATAGGAAACCGAGGCAGACCTTTATATCGACCTATCGGTGGCAGCTTTATTTATTATTTATTTCCCTAAGGTGCTTTTCCATAAGTCGCTGTAGCTCGCTGATTTTGATCAAATGTCTGGCTTATGACAATGACAAAGTAATTTACAAAAGTAGCTCTTATCTACAGTTGCATCGCATGGATGCTATCATCTTTGTTACAGCGCTGCAACGAAATACGAAAACCAATGGGCCAATGAGATTGTTTCCATCAAGTATAACGGTACCGTCATGTGGGCTGCACCAGAAATAATCAAAACTCACTGTACCCTGGATGTGACGCGTTTCCCGTTCGATGACCAGCAATGTACCGTGATGTTTGGACCATGGCAGCACACTGCTACTGAAATTACAGTAGTTGGCAAAAGTACGTATCATGCTTACATTTATATGCATTGTGTTTTACTATAGTCATTATAGTTGTTATATAACAATATAGTTACTATTATATAAAAATGATTACATTATTGTTATATCTGGGTACATCAAACCTGCATATTTTATTTACAATTTACAAATATGTTGATCAACACCTACTCCCAATAAAATAAAGAAGAAAAAAACGTGTGGCACAACCAATTTATTGGTGAAAATAACGTATTAACATTATTCATTCGTTGATTGAATTAAAATAGTAGACATTTCTCAGCATAACGGTGTAGCCAATCATTATGAAAGCAAACTGCATATATTAAAAAATATTATTATAATCTTTTAACTTTCCGTTAAATTGTTAAATGTTAACTGATTATCAACACATTTGCGATTAACGGGCCAGATCACTGCGTGACCTTTGGCGTTGCATGCGTGTTGCTGAACATGATTGACACTTCCAACTACACTGTCTGAATTACGCCCTCAAGAAACATCCTTCCAGTCATTGTATATAAAGTGCCATCAAGTGTTGACATTTCCTGTTCTTTTGTTTGATGTTACGCTTTTTTAGTTCGAAGGAAATATATGTAGAGTGAGTAATACAGGTAGACATATATCATATAACTAATTAGGAATTTTGATTGTATTCTTATTTAAAGGTGCGAACGTTAACGAAGAGTGTATTGAATGATTATATTATGTTGAGTGATTGCCGACGCCATTAACACGTACATCTATACGTACTTTATTTATATTCGTTAATAAATGATATAAACTGTTTTTTGCCAATTCTGGCAATACGCATATGCAATGATTGTTAATGTACGTACCAAACATCCATTGCTCATGCGTATCAGAAAATGTGCATCTTCAGTGATTGATAATAATTCTAATTACAATCTAATATAAAACGATAGAAAGCATTTAAATAGCAAATTAAATACATTATAATGATTCTGCGTGATCAAATTCTTATTAGTTTATACACATCTATAACCCGCAATGCATTGATTAAGAGTGTTTTAAACATGTTAATTTTGTTTTCAATTTCGTTCCTTCAGCTGAACCCAGCTATTTTAACGGGAATGCTGAATGGTCCTTGACAAACATCGCTGCTACGGATTATATATCTGATTATCGGATATACCCGGACGATCCCGTTCTACCATACAGCTCAGTGGAATACATCATTGTGTTACGTCGACAACCACTATACTATATTTTCAATTTAATTTTACCATGTGGATTCATCTCAGCGACAACTCTACTGAGCTTCTTCCTGCCTGCGGACTCAGGAGAGAAAGTGGGATTAGGGATAACAGTTTTGCTTTCCTTGACGGTGTTTCTGCTTCTGGTGGCAGAAATCCTCCCTCCTGCCAGCACAGTCCCCGTTATAGGTGCGTATTAATATTTCTGAATAACAACGACAGTATACCGATTCATACTCCAATCCCTTGCCCTTGCGCTACTGTGAAAAATTGAAAAAATCTAAAAAAAATCTTCAAAACAATCTTTCCAATGAAATTAATTGAAAGTCCAACAATTTAACCATACAATTTAACCCCCCAAAAATAACGCGTTACTTGAAAGCAAAAATGGTTTACAGTCGTACAGTGATCATAATAATGTAAACAAAGAATGCAAGTAAACCAGCTCGCAGTGGTGCTTTTGTTTACATTTATAAAAGTGCATGTTAGTTCTCGTGGTAGAAAAAGTTTGAAAGTAGAGATTACGGGCTATGAGTACATATAACATTTATAAAGATAGGGTTCAAATTAGGTTGGTCAAAGATCACAACAAAATTACGACTCTCAACAACAAGTTTCAGCTGCAAATTTAACAAAGCACAATTTTGGTCTGAGAAGCCCGGGAATAGAGACAGGTCTGCATAGAAAGGATATGACCCCCCCACCACCACCACCACCACCACCACCACCAACGCCCCCTATAGTTCAATTGACTATTGTATAATCCTTTGCAAATTCCAATATGGAGGAAATACAATACTGCCCTATATATGCAAGGGACATTGACTGGAAATCGAATCTAAATCATGGACAACTCCGCTACGCACGTGATCTTAGTATTGGCAGTTCTGTCAACCATTCCAATTCATGTTTATGCAAAATAAATGACAAATTGTGGTGTTAACAATAATATTATGTTTCATCAATTAATGTGACAATGCTTCTAAACTACGTTTCAATACGGTCGAAATATTGACATTTGTAGTACAATTAGTTGGTGGCGTTTCCTTTGACCCATATAATTTGAATTTCATTTAGACTCAACGTTTTTGATAAAAATGTTTATATATTTGTAATATAGTGTTAATGTGTTAATATATAATCCTTGGAACTTGAAATATAAATATATATGTTCAGACCAATCATATGATATATTATGCATGGCTATATTATTGAGCAAACGCTATCTTTTTCTATACTTACAAGTTTAAGTTTCCTGATTTATTCCATACTTATCATTTTTTAGGTCAATACTATGCCGCTACCATGGTGCTTGTGTCTCTCTCACTTCTCATGACAGTTATCGTACTGAATTTACACCATCGTGGACCGGAAAGCAAAGAGGTTCCCAAGTGGATTCGAAAATGGATTCTTGGCTACGCGGCTCGATTTTTGCTATTGAGAAAATTGCGGCCTCAATCGGAACTTTCCGAACAAAAAATAAACATCAATGTCAAAACTCATACGCCGACAACAGCAACAATGCGCACAACAGCGACATCCGAGGAAACAAAGGCAATGATACCAACGACTACTTCCGGAGATAAATCGACCGATCCTTTAATTAAAACTATAAGCAGTCTTCATGATTTAGGTTATTCTCGTTCGTATAAACGAATTGAGCGGAACACCAGTAACAGCACCAACTCATCTAAGTCGGAACGTCGTCGCAATCACAACCATCGTGACAAATCAGGCAGTCACATCACAGTAAATGTCAGCGAGGAACATTTGAAAGTACTGAAACAGCTGCATAAAGAGTTGAAGTACATCTCTGATCACTACAGAAACTCAGAAACAGAGATCAGAAAACATTCGGAGTGGAAGCAGGTTGCCATGGTAGTAGATAGGTGCTTCATGGTTGGTTACATCATCGGGTCACTTGCCACATGTCTGATCATCATTTGTCAGGTATTTATATCCTGATTTGATCGTGACAGCGATTAGGGCTAGTTGTACAACAACCTGGAAGTTTACACAAGCGTTCTGCCGTGTGGAGATGCGAGGCATCGTGCGTCAGCAAACGAGCATGACCACCTGTGTAAATATATGCATTGTAGGTGGAAGTCCAAATACAGCGTGATTTGATCAGGTGGCTGTGAGGAATATTCAAGATTTCCAAAAAGCAAAAGTAAAATCTTCGCGTTCCAATCTATCACTTTGGTGTGCGATTGTTGTACAGAGAATCAGTCAACCGCAATAAGGCACAATCCTGATCGCAGTAAATCGTTTGCTGTGCGTAATAGAACACCATCGGAAAACAGTGGGCACATCGTCTATTGGTTACCATGACTACAAGATGATTATGCAGTAAGATGGTTGTCAAATTATACAATTTACGTTTAAAACCTATTCAAAGCTCTATAAAACTTAACTTGGTTAAAAAGTTTTCTCAGACATTTATATTTACCGAAAATATTAAAACAAATTATATTAAATTATGCAATAACGCGGAGGCCACGTGGTCTCACGGAGTCGTAGTGACCAATCACACTTAACAAACGACCAGGAACTGCTTTTGTAAGAAATACAAACTTTGGTGAACTTTGACATGAGATGAAAGGTCACAACCCTGAATGTATTAACCGCTAATATATGAAGGTGAAGGCATATTATTCTACCGCACACAAGAGTCCTTCATACCGTCATTATCTTCAGGGAAATAAACTTAGAATCATTGATTTCACTCTCCTTTAATTTTTACTTAACAGAAAAGCAGGACATTGAACTGGTAGTTATTTACCTCACAATTAAAGCAAAGTCAACACATCTTGAAACAAGCGCATTGTGTCTCATCACATTGGCCTCTAGAGGGCCTTCTTCACTTCAGACAATAATTTATAGATATTTTGAGAGTACAATCAAGCGACAACTCCCCAATTACCCCTAACTCACTGAAGGTGTAATTTTAAATGTTGTTAGTAGGATACACAACTATCTTCTACGGATATATAAAATGAATACTGATATTGAAAAAATGTTGGATAATTGACAATGTACGAAAATCTGCTTTGTCTGTAATATTATGTATGGAATATGATGAAATTTCAACTTTTTCGGATGTTTCGATTTCCTGCGTTACTCCATGGGGCTTTATTGGAATAGAGTCGATTTATTCATGGATTTTCTATGCTTTGCTACTTTATTGTAATTGCACAATTTATTGGGTAGAAATTACGCGAGTTGTAGCTTCCGCTGATTCAAGAATAAAAGCAATAACTAGCATTACAAATATTTTCAATCGAGTCTAAAAATATGTGAAATAAAATAAAACACACAGTGATTGGCTCATTCGAATTAGATGCTGTTCTTAATTGTGTCACCAATCCCAACTTACCAGGGAAAACCCCAGGTGCCACGTGACAACATCGTGAGTAATGTTTATTGAAATTAACTAGAGATGCGCTATCTATTAATTGTGAGTTTTTTAATGTGTTTTTTTTTTTGGATATTATAACAATTCAATATTAATACTATTATCTCTCGAAATATTTATGTTGATAAAAACGTTGACAAAGTGGTAATTTTGAGTGCCCACAATACATCGTCCGAATCGCGCGGTTTCGCGAGCTCGATGCAATCGTACTTTCCCACAAAACCCGTGCGGGATTACACTAATAAGTCGCGTATTTTACCGAGTCGGTAAAATCCATAGATCTGATTGGAAGCGTCTGTAAAGCATTCGCACATTAAAGGGTGGGCGTAATATGTGACAACTGGTCATTAATATAATGTAGTGTTATGTTGTCAATCTCGAAGAATCGCCGGTGCAATTTGTGGCGGCCATTCCACAGTTCCACAGTGGAGCAAAAACCACAGTCAGTTGGTCGAACTATTTATGTAGACTATCACTTGATTCGGTTACAATGCGTATTTGACGCAGTCACCGCATTCGATTCCTTGCGTCCCTTGCTATGTTTTCAAACGTATGACGGTTGTAATTCTATTTCCACATTATACTGGGAGCATATAGTTTGCATCATACACACGAACATTACCGTCATACGTCATATCTGTATTTTTTAGTATAGTGAAAAATAGGGAAACAAATTAATAAAATGAAATGATCTAATCAGTTGAATTTTTAGTTCTCATGTAACAGATATTAAAAGCTCAATCTCTGGCTGGGAAGAAAACTTCTACTGTACAGTTTTGCCCGTGATGCAGCTATAACGAGCAATTTGACTGGACAGTGAATTGAAGAAAATATCTCAAGTATTGCCATAGAGGGCGCACTTAAATGCCCATCGGCTATATACAGTCTGCCAAGGTGTAGTGGTAGCCGATGGCCGAATTGCTAGCGAAGATGGATAATTAACTGCGGCGCAAACGATGCATGCTCCAAATAAAATACGATAATTTATTTACGTTTTGAACCCCTCAAGACACCGTACATTAAAATATGAAACAAGTAAATTAGTATAAAACAGTTCCGGTATCATATCCAGTCTCCCTATTTACACTTTATTTTTTTGGTGACAACTTTGCTTGTTTTTTTTTCGTGGAAAAAAAATATTTACGATGATAATCCAATATTGGTCGACCTTAAATGTAAAGGCGTTGAATCGTCCGACGGTTGTTGACAGCCTTACTGCCAAGGATCACGTGACGTGCCTGGGGTTGAGCGTCGATATATTTCCAGCATGAATGATCTTTATGTTCAGAATTTCACTTAGAAAGAAAGAAATCCACATGTGTGAGTTGTTTTGCATACCGTCATAGGCTAATCTACAGCATATTAATGATACTTGACGGAATTCCACGCAGATTTCCTATAAATATGTTCTTTTTGCCGTTGGCTTTCCTCTCGTCCACAACGAAATCCGACCAGTTTGAGCTTCCCGACGCCATAAATAGTGCGGCACCTGCGAATAAATATGTATTATCAACTATGGCCGTATTAGTGTGAGCATGGAGCTAAAAAAAAGACGTGTGACGCATACCAAAAAATATGCAGCAAATAGACTTTTAGGATTTAGGTTTTAGTTGACACAAGGGTGAAACACAACAGACATTATATATTATCTTGTCTCGCGGCACGCCATGATGAATACTAATTCATGCCAAAGCAAACACATGGCACAAATCCGTCATGAACACGTCACGTTGTACGCGAGATATGTGTCACCTGCTCTCATCCAAATGAAGCTTAATAAATTTGATTGATCCTGTAAGAGTAGAACGATAGTTCGAATCGTTGTAAAAATCTGCAGAGAAAAAAATTTAACGTCATTGTGCTGACAATACAGGGATATGCAAATACGTACGTGATGCCATTTCTTGGTCAATTAATGAGAGATAGTATTCATCTTCCTGCATATACTCTGGTATGCCATGTACAAGTATATCAGAGACGGTGTACACTTTAGGTATTTCTGCGGCCATGTATTCTAAGATATCCTGCAAATAGACGACGTAAGTTTATCACAGAAAAGCGTGAATAACAATGTGCAAAATATTAAATATCTGTTTATATTCGTCACGTGACGCATACATTGGATTGAAATGTGATGCAATTTATAAATTAGTACATAAACAGTTTATTTATTTATTTATTTATTTATTTATTTATTTATTTATTTATTTATTTATTTATTTATTTATTTGTTTGTTTGTTTGTTTATTTATTTATTGTTCTCATTGCAATCAAGGCGAAGCAAATACATTTTATAACAAGTATAACTCATTTTATACTAGTAGTTTGCAATGTAAACATACAAACAACTAAAAATATTTGCATTTCGGCAAATTACATTCCATGAGTTCGAGCGAAAATACCACAATCCGGAATATCACTGGTATTCAACAACCCCACTATATGCGTCAGTAAAGACAGACGAACACAATGCACACATGCTAGTCATTTTCTCTTATAATGTATAGTACCGATACACAATGCTGGATGCAGAGCTGAGACACATGGACATAACTCGGCGATTGTCCCGTTCACATAATATTGGTGGTGATGTCCGTTGCCGGCCGATCAATATTCTTCCAAGTGGATATGTAAACATACAAGAACGGTATATTTAGCTAATCATTGTACATACCTCTGAGTATGGCGGATATGCTAGGTATAAACAATCTAAACCATCCTTTTTCATGGCGTCATGCACAGCTCTTGCTATGGTGGCGCTATTGTCATTTAACAACTGAATGTGATCTTCACACGTTATGTCTTCCCTGTTGGCTCGCAGACCTACTCTGCATCTGATGAAAAGAACAAAGCACAGTATATATAATATTTACAATTCACGTGTGAATAATTGTTATTCTTCTAGTCTAATATGATATAGGTGTACTGACAGTACATTAGTATTCACACAGTTGTTGCCAATGTAATAAAGATATATAAAGCTTGAATATGCATTGTGGTACGCATAATTTCGTAAAACGAAACTAACTTGGATATAAATTCAAATACACCAAGTATTCACCCGTTAAACGCCCAAATCAACTTTTGGCTAATTTCACAACTAAACCTGTACAAGTCATTTTTTTACTAAGTTAACAAACAAATATAGTAAAATACATAAAAATCACAATATTAATTGCACAAAAGCGACCTACATTTTTAACATTATGTTACATTGCATTACAACCACTTCAATATGTTACTATTGTACCAATAAGAAATCGTTAATTGTTAAAAAAAATACTAAATACGACATACGGCATCCCCAATGATACACACAACTCTGTTAAAATATAACCATCATACTATTTTAAAGTCCTAATATTAGTATGCGCATTTGTGTTATTGATACCAACGCCATTACTGGGTCCAATTAAGCGCGTATATGTTCTTTTTG